ATGCGAAGGCCTCACCAGTGGGGATCAGAAGGTGCATAAATTTAAATGGGTATGTCTTTAATAACACATGCAATGGATGCGTGATTGATTTCATTTTGCTTAAAGAAGGCTGAACTTCTAAAAGTCTGGAAAACATTGAAGTAACCCAAGAATGCATGGCAAATTAGTAGCAACTCAGATTTATACATCTTGCCTGTATTGTTACAGAAATGGCTAAAAGTAAATATAAAATGTCTGTAACTCGAGTTCAGTTCATTGTGTGTTTTTTCGGACAAATTATTTGACAATAAAATAAGCAATTATTCAAATAATTTTAAATTAATATAGAGTGTTGTGCCAGTAATCAGTGGATTAAAAACCAGATTATTATGCTCAAAAATCTTGTTTCTTTGAGAAATATCATGACAGCCTTTTCTATGAGCTGCAATCTCTTAATGGCTCAAGCTTGAAAAACCCAAAAGAGTGATTTACAAAATCAATCCTTGAAATGAAAAAGCATAAATCAATAACAATATCTGTTCTCAGTGAGCAGAAACCTCATGCTTTAAATTTTGCCAAGTCTGCCTTAGCACAGGTATAAAGATTACAGACCCAACAGGGGGAAGTAGAAGATTCACTCACGAATGTGGAAAAATCAGTGGGCTTTGGATCACACTGCATGTTAACGCTACAATAAACTGAGAGCACTGAAATCAAAAGACTCCAGTTGACTTCTATGGGATTTGGAAGAGATCCTTTGCCTGTAAGTGCATAACAATGCATAAAAGGCCCCATCTTGCCTTTATTTTAGCAAGAAATGTAATGGAAGAACACCATGAATTTAATAGTAGGGCATATGAAGTTGACTGAACTTACCTCACTTAGAAGTCTGTCTGTCTGTCTATGTTTTCATAGTAGAAGTTAACAAAAACTTAATTCTTTTTATTTGGTAAAGTTCTGCGATCCAATGAGTTAAAAATCAAATTGTCTTAAATTTTGAATGCATGCATTTTTGGTTCATAGATTCATAGACTTTAAGGTCAGAAACGACTATTGTGATTATCTAGTCTAATCTGAACATTGCAGGCCACAGAACTTCACCCACTTCTGAAATAGACCCCAACCTCTGGCTGAGTTACTGAAGTCCTCAAATCTTGGTTTAAGGACTTCAAGTTAGAGAATTCACCATTTACACTAGTTTAAACCTGCAAATGACCTATGCCTCATGCTGCAGAGGAAGGCAAAAATACCCCAGGGTTTCAGCTAATCCGATCTGGGGGAAAATTCCTTCCCAACCCCAAATACAGTGATCAGTTAGACCCTGAGCATGCGGACAAGACCCACCAGGCACATATCTGGGAAATAATTCTCTGTAGTAACTCGGAGCCCTCCCCATTTGGTGCCCCATCTCCAGCTGTTGGGGATTTTTGCTACTGGCAGTTGCTGATGGGCCACATGCAATCATAGGCAGTTCTGTCATACCATCCCCTCCATAAACTTATCAAGCTCAGTCTTGAAGTAAGTTAGGTTTTTGGCCCCCACTGTTCCTCTTGGGAAGCTGTTCCAGAATTTCACTCCTCTGATAGTTGGAAACTTTCGTCTGATTTCGAGTCTAAACTTGGTGGTGGCCAGTTTATAGCCATTTGTTCTTGTGCCCACATTGGAGCTTAACTTAAATAACTCTCCCTCCCTCCCTGGTATTTACTCCTCTATTGCATTTATAGAAAGCAATCATATCTCCCCTCAGCCTTCTTTTGGTTAGGTTAAACAAGCCGAGCTCTTTGAGTCTCCTCTCATAAAGTAGGTTTTCCATTCCTCAGATCATTAGGGTTGCCAACCCTCCAGGATTGTCCTGGAGTCTCCAGGATTTAAAGATTCATCTTTAATTAAAGATTTTGTTATGTGATGAAACCTCCAGGAATATGTCCAACCAAAGCTGGCAAACCCACAGTTCATCCTAATAGCCCTCTGCACATATTCCAGTTTGAATTAATCTTTCTTAAACATTTGAGACCAGAATTAAAATGAAATCATAATGTTACATGCTTATTCATCTCAGTTGTAAGTCATGGGATTGCTAGGTATTTATATCTTTTGCCTGGAAATAACACTGTCTGTAGAAGTTGAAGAATACACCTCAAAAATTAGTTAATATGATGAGCAACAAAACACTTTTGATCACATTTCAAAATTGCTGTGTACAAAGGACAATTTCACAGTATTTTTCAGACTGTAAACAAAAGTAAGGAATATATAATCATTCTTGGGACCTTCAGATTGAAGTAAGGTTCATTAGTATTCCCTCTCCTTCCTCCCCACCTCCAACTTTCAACACACACTATTTTAAATATGTGTGTGAACACCTAGACAGTTCGTTATTGGGTGATTATTAGGGAATAATGGATGGGTGTCATTGATTCTTTTAAAGAAGAAAAATCATTTAATGCATTTATTTTAAAAACTCAGATCACAAAGTAATCATCGGTGTTTTTTTTAAATAGATGTATAAAGAAAAAATGTAGGTACATTTTGGGGCCTGCCAACCTTGACAGTTCCCCTTTAAATGAAGTAGAAGTTATCGGAAGAACCATTCAATTTTTGCATTTAGCTCCTGACAGTAGAGCGCAGGAAGGATGTAACAATTTTGTTAGTTAAAAACACTATACAAATGTTGAGGATGTCTACATGACATCAGTGAATTGAAAGCACTTTGTCATCCTGTGTGAAGAGCAAGCCCAGGTGCCTACAGTCTGTGGCTTAGGATGTGGGTTTCTTTGGTCCTGCTAGTTCCAGACACAGGGGAAGCAAGTAGAGTATGCAAAACAAGCAACATTTCTGATCTCTCCATAGTTACGCTCTGATCTCTCATAAATTCTAGACATGTGACTTGAATGGCTTGCCTTTTCGTGACAGCACAACCCAAACTGCTTTCCGGTGTCTAGGTTGATGACGTTAATGACCAAGAGTGAACCCTCTAGCTGGTGAAAAAAGGGGTAATGCTTCATTTTTTATTTTTATCATATGAGTGAGAGTGTCTGATTAGTGCTTGAGTGCCTTATATGCTGTCTGAGGGGTAAGACGGTTAACCACCCATGTCTCTCTACTCAGTATAGTTACATTAGACATGAATTCAGTGTTAGCAATTGCACTTGATTAAAATGTAGTAATGTACTTTGCCTAAAAATGCAAAGAAATAGATTATCTGTTAAAATATAAGGTGCAGCAAATAGCCGTGTGGCGTTGTGTGCTGGGCACAAAAGTGGCTTAAATTTACCTTTGCTACCTCCATTCCTCCCCCCTGAGCTGTGAATTCTGTGCTATACTTCTTGGAGGTACAGCACCGAATCTCATCCCTGGTTCTCCAATGCCTTTTTCCTCTGGATTGTTAGTTAAGGATCATATTAAAGCATATTCAGCTGACAATGACAAAAATCCTCAAACAGGTCTATATACAATCTGGGTGTTTGAGGGGGCTGTTACACACACCAGTAGGGGCTCTTTGTGTTCCTCCGTGCCCTGCCCCCATGCTACTTTCCCATCCCCCTTTATTTCAGGGACTGTCTGCAACCCTCCTACTCCCTCCTTTGTGCCAAGAGTGCTGAGAGTTGCCATTCGTTCCCCCGGCCCATGCCAGGGGCTCTTTGTGACCCTTGTTCTCTCCTTTCCACACCATGCCCCCCTTTCCCTGTGCCAGGGGCTATGTGTCCCCTCCATGTATGGGGTTCTCTGTGTCCCCCATACCAGAATTTCACAATTTCCCCCTGCCAGGGTTCTGTACTCCCATTCCTCATTCTCTCTTGACCCCTTTCCTTTCATGGCCCCCATTACAGGGACTCTCTGTGTCCTGCTTTCCACCATGTGCCCCATTCCCCCCACCTCATTATTTTTCTGTTGGCTGAGAGATTAATCATTCTGAGTGTCAACATGTTAAGATCTATCAGGAGGATGGGCAGAAATGTGATTGGTGGTGGATATTGTTATGCTCTGTAGTGTTAATGACTGTCATCAATTGGTTCTTTGATCTGTAGACAGTTACAGAGATTGTTGAAGATGTTGGATCTGCAAACCAGATGCTGGAGTCTCCATGTGTCCCCCATTTCACTCCTTCCCGTTTTCCGATTTTCCCAAAGATCAGTAGGGTTCTGTCCAGTGATGCCTCGAACATTCCCTGAAATTTTGAATGTGATTGATTGGTTTTGGTGTTCAAAAGTTACTACATTACATCCAAACAGACACACTGAAAATTTCCATCGAGTGGCTTCACTTGGCCAAAAAATGTTTGTGAACCCTTGCCTCTATTATTATTTTATTTATATTAAACTATACCATTCATACTTCATACAGTAGTAATCAGCATTATTTTGTGAGCTTTGAGATATGTTATAACATCACCTGTAACAACTTCTGTGTCATCATTTACATTGCAACAACATTAACCAAAAACGACTTATTTTAAAAAAAATTCCTTTAACTGATAACAGCTCATAATTTTCAGCACTTCTAGATAATTACATATAAGATATAACATATATGGTATACTTAAGTAGATTTGTGTGTTTCTGCCTGTCTGCTTATTGATATAAAATGTATAATATACACACACACGCGCGCACTTTTATAAAAACTTCAGTGATCCTTACTAATCATGGTGGGGTGGGGGACTGCATGCCCTGGAATTTAAGGGTATAAAACTCCTATTTCATATTTGAATACTGATTTAATTATAGCATGTTGAGACCTTTCTACTTTTTGAAGTTTTTAAAAACTAACTTACTACTAGGGCTGGTCAAATATTTGTTAGTGACATATGACAAATAGTAGCAGTGAATCTGGTGATGTCTCAGAGTTAAGAAAGTATTATATCAGATATTCGGAACACAATTGATGGATTATTTTTGCCATTTTAAGGGTTAGACATTTTTACCTTTTTTGTTCTTTAAAGTTTAAATTTTGCACAAGTGAATGGTGCTTGCATGGAAAAGATTTCTACTTACCCATGATCTTTGTATTTGATTTTTAAGCCCTGATAATTGAACACTGGAAAAGAAGTGTGTGTGTGTGCACACACACATATGTCTTCATAGGAAAATGAAGAGAAAGCAGCCACTAACATTTGCAACTGAGGTTTTGAGGTATGTGACTCATGACAGACGTCTGGTAGTTGCACATTGTGGGAAAGAATGAATAGAGGAAGAACATCAGTCTTTTGTTCTCTATGTGCAGTAATTGGTTTGTTGTTATCAGTATAGAATAGACTTGGTTTATATTATAGTGTCTGATAGTCCCAGCTCCTTTTTTGCATTTTCACTTCCCCATTTGTTTGAAAAGCATTTTTCCAGATAATACTGTCTTGCTTTGTTCTGCACAAACTTGTGTTTTAACAAAACATTACAGCAGGTACAGAAACTCAGTCTCTAACCTGATGAGTATTTTGCTTACACTGCACTTCAGGAAGTATGATCAATGAGTGAAATTGAAGACTATTGGGCAACAAACCAAGTGATTGATCTAAACTCATAGAATCATAGATTTTAAGGTCAGAAGGGACTGTCATGATCATCTAGTCTGACCTCCTGCACATTATAGGCCACAGGACCTCACCCATCCACTACTGTAATAGACCGTAACCTCTGGCTGAGTTATTGAAGTCCTCAAATCATGATTTGAAGACTTCAGGCTACAGAGACTCCACCTTTTACACTAGTTTCAAGCTGCAAGTGGCCCATGCCTCATGCTGCAGAGGAAGGCTAAACCGCCCAGGTCTCTGCCAATCTGACCCGGGGGAAATTTCTTCCCGACCCCAAGTATGGCGATCAGTTAGACTCTGAGCATGTGGGCAAGACCCAGTAGTCGGGCAACTCAGAAAGGATTCTCTGTAGTAACTCAGAGACCTCACCATCTAGTGTCCCATCTCTGCCCATTGGAGATATTTGCTGCTAGCAATCGCTGATTGGCTACATGCCAGTGTGGGCAGTTCCATCATACCATCCCCTCCATAACTTTATCAAGCTCAGTCTTGAAGCCAGTTAGGGTTTTTGTCTCCACTGTTCCCCTTGGAAGGCTGTTCCAGAACTTCAATCCTCTGATGGTTAGAAACCTTCATTTAATTTGAAGCCTAAATTTGTTGATGGACAGTTTGTATCCATTTGCTCTTGTGTCCACTTGACACTTAACTTGAAGTCTCCCTCGATCCCTGGTATTTATCCCTCTGGTGTATTTATAGGGATCAATCATATCTCTTCAGCCTTCTATTGGTTAGGCTAAACAAGTCAAGCTCCTGGAGTCTCCTCTTATAAGATAGGTTTTTCATTCCTTGCTTCATCGTAGTAGCCCTTCTCTGCACCTATAGCAGTTTGAATTTATCTGTCTTAAAAATGGGAGACCAGAATTGCACACAGTATTCCAGATGAGACCAGTGTTCTGTATATGGTAGGTTTCAGAGTAGCAGCCATGTTAGTCTGTATCCGCAAAAAGAACAAGAGTACTTGTGGCACCTTAGAGAGTAACAAATTTATTAGAGGATATGCTTTTGTGGGCTACAGCCCACTTCATCGGATGCATAGAATGGAACATATAGTAAGACGAGATATATATATACAAACTGTGAGAGGCTAATTAGTTAAGATGAGCTGTTATCAGCAGGAGAAAAAAACTTTTGTAGTGATAATCAAGATGGCCCATTTCGACAGTTGACAAGAAGATGTGAGGATACTTAAGGAAATTGCACCACTTGACAGAGGATGTGGAAAAAGCTAATGTACTCAATGCTTTTTTTGCCTGTGTCTTCACGAACAAAGTCAGCTCCCAGACTGCTGCGCTGGGCAACACAGCATGGGGAGTAGGTGGCCAGCCCTCTGTGGAGAAAGAAATGGTTAAGGACTATTTAGAAAAGCTGGACGTGCACAAGTCCTTGGGGCCGGATGTGTTGCATCCGAGAGTGCTAAAGGAGTTGGCGGATGTGATTGCAGAGCCATTGGCCATTATCTTTGAAAACTCATGGCGATCGGGGGAAGTCCCGGACGACTGGAAAAAGGCTAATGTAGTGCCCATCTTTAAAAAAGGGAAGAAGGAGGATCCTGGGAACTACAGGCCAGTCAGCCTCACCTCAGTCTGTGGAAAAATCATGGAGCAGGTCCTCAAGGAATCAATCCTGAAGCACTTACACGAGAGGAATGCATTACCTAGGGAGGTGGTAGAATCTCCTTCCTTAAAAGTTTTTAAGGTCAGGCTTGACAAAGCCCTGGCTGGGATGATTTAATTGGGGATTGGTCCTGCTTTGAGCAGGGAGTTGGACTAGATGACCTCCTGAGGTCCCTTCCAACCCTGATATTCTATGATTCTGTGAAATAAATTCAATATGTGTAATGACCCAACCACTCCCAGTCTCTGTTCAAACCCAAGTTAATGGTATCTAGTTTGCATATTAATTCAAGCTCAGCAGTTTCTCTTTGGAGTCTGTTTTTGAAGCTTTTCTGTTGCAAAATTGCCACCCTTAAATCTTTTACTGAGTGGCCAGCGAGGTTGAAGTATTCTCCTACTGGTTTTTGAATGTTATGATTCCTGATGTCAGATTTGTGTCCATTTATTGTTTTGCATAGAGACTGTCCGGTTTGGCCAATGTACATGGCAGAGGGGCATTGCTGGCACATGGCATATATCACATTGGTAAATGTGCAGGTGAAAGAGCCTCTGATGGTGTGGCTAATGTGATTAGGTCCTATGGTGGTATCACTTGAATAAATGTGGACAGAGTTGGCATCAGGCTTTGTTGCAAGGATAGATTCCTGGGTTCGTGTTTTTGTTGTGTGGTTTGTGGTTGCTGGTGAGTATTTGTTTCAGGTTGGGGGGCTGTCTGTAAGCAAGGACTGGCCTCTCTCCTAAGATCTGTACCCTTCTGGGTACTCTTCTGGCTCTGTCAGTCTGTTTCTTCACTTCAGCAGGTGGGTATTGTAGTTGTAAGAAAGCTTGACAGAGATCTTGTAGGTGTTTATCTCTGTCTGAGGGGTTGGAGCAAATGCGGTTGTATCTTAGAGCTTGGCTGTAGACAATGTATCATGTGATGTGATCTGGATGAAAGCTGGAGGCATGTAGGTAAGTATAGCGGTCAGTAGGTTTCTGGTATAGGGTGGTGTTTATGTGACCACCGCTTATTAGCACCATAGTGTCCAGGAAGTGGATGTCTTGTGTGGACTTGTCCAGGCTGAGGTTGATGGTGGGATGGAAATTGTTGAAATCATGGTGGAATTCCTCAAGGGCTTCTTTTCCATGGGTCCAGATGATGAAGATGTCATCAATGTAACGCAAGTAGAGCAGGGGCATTAGGGGACGAGAGCTGAGGAAGCGTTGTTCTAAGTCAGCCATAAAAATGTTAGCATACTGTGGAGCCACACGGGTACCCATAGCAGTGCTGCTGACTTGAAGGTGTATATTGTCCCCAAATGTGAAATAGTTGTGGGTGAGGACAATGTCACAAATGTCAGCCACCAGGTTTGCCGCGACATTATTGGGGATACTGTTCCTGATAGCTTGTAGTCCATCTTTGTGTGGAATGTTGGTGTAGGGGGCTTCTACATCCATAGTAGCCAGGAGGGTGTTTTCTGGAAAATCATCGATGGATTGTAGTTTCCTCAGGAAGTCTGTGGTGTCTTGAAGATAGCTGGGAGTGCTGGTAGCCTAGGGCCTGAGGAGAGAGTCCATATAGCCAGACAATCCTGCTGTCAGGGTGCCAATGCCTGAGATGATGGGGCGTCCAGGATTCCCAGGTTTATGGATCTTGGGTAGCAGATAGAATACCCCTGGTTGGGGTTCTAGGCATGTGTCTGCACAGATCTGTTCCTGTGCTTTTTCAGGGAGTTTCTTGAGCAGATGGTGTAGTTTCTTTTGGTAATCCTCAGTGGGATCAGAGGATAATGGCCTATAGAATGTGGAGTTAGAGAGCTGCCTAGCAGCCTCTTGTTCATGTTCCAACTTATTCATGATGACGACAGTATAATGGTACTAACACTTCCCTGTCTCTACTGGAAATATTTTGCATCATAGATCTACGTTAGGCTTTTTATTGCTGCATCACAATAACGTCTCATAGTCATCCTGTGATCAACGAATACAGCCATCTCTTTCTCGTCTTCTGTTGCTTCCAACTAATATGTTCACAGTTTATAGCAAAAATTCTTGTTGTTAATCCCTCAGTTCATGACCTTGCACTCTGCATTATTAAATTTTATCCCATTTCTATAACTCCAGTTTACAAGGTCATCCAGATCTTCTTGTATAATATTCCAGTCCTCCTCCATATTGGCAATACCTCCCAATTTGTGTCGTCCACAGATTTTATTAGGACACTCCCACTTTTTTTGCCTAGGTTAGTAATAAAAATGTTAAATAAGATTGGTCCCAAGACGCATCCTTGAGGACTTTCACTAGTAACCTCCCTCCAGCCTGACAGTTCACCTGTCAGTATGACTCATTGTCGTTTCCCCTTTAACCAGTTCTTTATCCACCTTTCAGTTGTTATATTAATCCCCATCTTCTCCAATTTAACTAATAATTTCCCATGTGAGACTGTATCAGATGCCATACTGAAATCCAAGTAGATTACATTTACTGCATTTCCTTTATCTAAAAAATCAGTTATCTTCTCAAAGAAGGAAGTCAGGTTGGTCTGGCACGATCTACCTTTTGTAAAACCATGTTGTATTTTATCCCAATTACTGTCAACCTCTATGCCCTTAACTACTTTCTCTTTCCAAATTTATGCTATGAGGTCAAACTAACAGGTCTGTAGTTTCCCAGAGCATTTTTTCCCTTTCTTAAAAATAGGAGCTATGTGAGCAATTCTCCAGTCATAGGGTACGACCCCCAAGTTTGCAGATTCATTAAAAATCCTTGCTATTGAACTTGCAATTTCATGTGCCAGTTCCTTTAATATTCTTGGATGGAATTTATCCAGGTCCCCTGATTTAGTCCCATTAAGCTGTTGAGTCTGATTTCCTCCTTGGATGTGGTAATTTCTACCTCCATATCCTTGTTGCCATTAGCCATCCTGCCATTACCCCAAGCTCTTCATTAGCCTTATTAAAAACTGAGGCATAATATTTGTTTAGGTGTTGGGCCATGCCTAGATTATCTTTAA